AATATGTTTAAAAATGAAAAAAAAAAAAAAAAAAAAAAAAAAAAAAAAAAAAAAAAAGTATAAAGAGAACACCGTGAATGAGCCCACTAGTTCTCCATCGGTATGGTTGGTGTAAGGTCATATGCCTTCGGGATTAGGACAGTTTTTGGCCATCGGTGTGAAACCAGGGAAAAATTTTGTTTCAATCATTGAGCCTAAGAATCTTAATTCACATTCATACCCACATACCAGACAATCAAATTTCCAGGGAGGCTTCAGTCAATTACATGCCACATCACCCTAGTATTGAGTTCCATTAATTTGTCTTTGTTTTATCATTTTCTTTTCGTGAGTATGCATGTATCCTTTAACCCATTTGGTTATTGGAAATTTTTTTAAAAACCTGGTAAACAATTCAGATTTTTGGAATATATAATATGTTTAGATTATTTATTATTTTTTAAAAAATTATTTATTGCAATATCATTTCTTTTCAAAAAAAGAAAATGAGTTTTGATGCTCACACTAATAAATAGTAATATTCATCACTTTGTTGTTATAATTATTGCTATCACATCACACCACTAATAGATGCTAAGTATCTTTTTTGCAATTTTTTCCATCTAATTAAATTAGCTGTAGATATCTAGGAGAAAAAATGTCAATATTTCTGAAGAATATCGTGTCCAAGTCAAATACGTTTTACAGGAACTACATAGATTTTTTTTTTTTATAAAAGGAAATTAAACACTATCATTTAATGACAACAATTCAAAGAATGGATTCCAAAAAAAAAAAAAAAATTCCACGAACCAAGTACCCAAATCAAATTATTGAAAGTGTAATTTTTGGAAGATATGTTGATGATCAACATCAATTGGTTCTCTGCGTGTTGAAACTATTCCTATGTTTGACATGTATAAAAGAAAACTAAAGTTTTACTTTAACCCACTTGGCTATTAGTTATGTTGCGAAGGCATTCTTTGATCGTGACAGAAGAGTAGAGAAGAATCGAATATGACCTCTTATTTTTCCAACATAGAAATGAAACTTTCTAAAAACATATTGACTACAACCTCCAGGTAATAATTAAGGATAGATTTCTTAAAGTGATACAATTCAATCATCTGAGTTGGTCTCTTACAAGTTAAATTAATAAATAAATAAATAAATAAGGTATGGCAATCCAGTTCCAGTCAAATTAATGACCCAAAAAGATGACTCGCCAAATTAAAAAAAAAATAAAAATAAAAATAAAAATAAATTTGGGAAGTATAAGTGTTTAGTGTTTTTTTTACCGTCAATAGCAACAAGATTTGAATCCAACTTCTCACGGTTTAACTAATTATAATGGCTTGTATAAGTGTTTAGTACAAAAAATCCCTTAAAAAAATTTAGTTG